CTGAGGCAGGAGAATTGCCTGAACCCAGGAGGCGGAGGTTGCGGTGAGCCGAGATCGCGCCATTGCACTCTAGCCTGGGTAACAAGAGCGAAACTCCGTCCCCCCACAAAAAAAAAAAAAAAAGATTTCAGTGGGTGTATAAATTACTACAAACATACTGTCATAAAACATGCAGATTTATTGTCTCACCCTCTCTGTGGATCAGGTCAGCTGGGTCGTCTGCTCAGGGTCTCACCAGCTTTTAATCAACGTTATCACCAGGGGCTGCAATCCTGCAATCTCATCTGAGGCTGGGGATCATCTTCCAAGCTTATGGGGGTTGTGGGCACGATTTAGTTCCTTGTAGTTTTAGGACTGAGGTACCAGTTTTTTTCCTGTTTGTTGGCAGGACGTATTATTCTTAGCTTGTAGAGGTCACCCTAGGTCCTAGAAAGTCCTATGTACTTGGCCTTCTTAAAACACGACACAGCTAGGTGTGGTGGCTCACATCTGTAATCCCAGCACTTTGGGAGGCCAAGATGAGTGGATCATGAGGTCAAGAGATTGAGACCATCCTGGCCAACGTGGTGAAACCCTGTCTCCACTAAAAATAGAAAAATTACCTAGGCCTGGTGGCACACGCCTGTAGTGCCAGCTACTTGCCAGGCTGAGGCAGGAAAATCACCTGAATCCGGGAGGCAGAGTTGCAGTGAGCCGAGATCACGCCACTGCACTCCAGTCTGGCGACAGAGCGAGACTCTGCCTCAAAACAAACAAACAAACAAATGAAAAACATGACAGATTACTTCTTTGAAACCAATGAGATAAACTCTCTCCAGTTGGCTATGACAAAGTGTTATATGATGTCATGGAATGCAGTCAAGTGGGTGATATCCCATCATATTAACAGGTTCCAGGCATACTCAAAGGAAGGTTATTAAATAGAAAGTGTATAGCAGTGGGCAGGAATCTTGAAGGCTACTCAAAATTCCACCTACCACATTCTATTTTTGCTGCCTTGCTTATGGAAAAACTTAAAAGACAAACAAACAAACAAAAAACAAGAACTTAACTATCAGTAGCAAGGAATATTTGAAAACTGAACCATACAAGTAAATCATTCTCTAGCGTCCTCTTATGCTGTTTGGCATTACTAATATCACCTACCTCACTGAGAAATTATAAGCATTATAAAGGACTAAGTACTGTGACTGGCAGGAAATAACTGCTTAATAAATGACAATGAGTCTTACCACGTTGTGCCTTGCAGCATTATTACAGAATTACCATTTTTGATCTTAGGTAGAAAGAGAGTACATATATTCTCTTAGTGTTTTCAGAGAGTCCTTCTGAATCTAAGAGCTAGCTCTTTGCGTATTTTGTCATGCCTTTTACTGTTACTGATGTCCCCCTGCTGCCTGCTTTTAAAGGGCTTCTCTCAGGTTTTTCAGAGCAGGTAAGAATCTCAGCATAAGTCTATAGTGGGATTCCCAGACACCCCCCCCAAATGATCCAGAGAGCACCAATCCTCATACATCACTGCTTCCTTCCTCCATTTCTGTTACCCTAGAACACTTCCTATGTGGTTCTGAGAACATGGCATTCATATGTAGTCTCCCAAACACTCTCACTCCTTCTACCCTAGGTTTCTAGATATATTCTAATATTAACTTTGTTAGATATCATGTGTTGCCCCCATCATCTTCCTCTATTCCTCATTCTCATAAACCCAGGTCATGAATGATCTCACAAAAGAAAATTCCATCAAGTCGGTGTTTCTTATTTAAGACCTAGAACCTGAGAGAGAAAAAATAGGATGAATACAAGAAGAGAGGTCTATGTCACCTTGATGTCAAGAGAAGCTGGGATTATGTGTAATGGAAATTGAGGCAGAAGCAAGGTTTTTTACTTAATACAAAATATTGTCTTAGTTCAAGATTCTTACTAATTGTTCAGTGGGATGACACTATGAAACTTGTTAATTAATATGACAGAAACCATAGGGTCTACTCTTCTCAAAGCCCAGATAAGATACCTCCATGGAATGTGGCTTAAGCTATATTAAAGCAAGGTTTGTTAAATACGTAAATAAATAGCAGAAAGGAGGCTTCTGTATCACCAACATGCATATCAGAGTTTTTAAAATGGAACCAGTAAAACTCTGAAGTTTCTACTGTACCAACAGGACCAATCCCCAGCAGAACCTCATGATTAGTTCTGATGGAATTTGAAAATGTTTATCCAGTGAAGTCTAAGGTAGCCTGAGATCTAAAGCAAGAGTCTCAATCTGCAGGGTGAATGTTTGACTTAAATATCAGTATTTAGTAGTATATGTAGCAACTTTGTCTCTGTCTATCTAATTGATTGTATAACAAAGTCTTAACAATTCTTGAATTGTCTGAATGGAAGTTTCAGGTAAAGAAAAGAAGGAAAGCAGGAGAGAATAAATTAAATCTGCATTTCTAAGAACTCACCTTACAGTATGTGATTCATTTCAACAGTAAAACTCATCTGAGTTTTGCCACAACTTTTCACTTTCCACATGCTGTGTACAGGTGCTAAGTTTGCAAGTTACCACTCAAAGAACAGATACATGGTGTTAGGAAAGAGTGGTCCCTTTCTATTCAAGGACCAAATTAGTTGAAGTGCAGAGAATGGAAATGAATATGAGTAGGAACTTAACTTGATTTGTATCTCAGAAGATGGGATTGTTCTTGGGATTTTGGGTTCCCTCAATGAGCACAAAACAACTGGAAGAGACCAGTCAAAGGTTCTTCAGAAGCATGCACGCATTTCCTTAGTGTTTCTTATTTGAACCCTCCTGAGAAGAGCCCATGTCTTCCTAGACCCAATATTTAGACCTAAGAAGAAAGAATGAGGACTGACTTACCGTTTTCCCTCACCACTAATTGAGAGACACTCACAACTGCTTGCTGTCAACTCAAAATTTTCCATGATTCATAAGTGTCCTGGAAAATTTGTTGACCCTCTCCAGCCCAGCCTCACCCTCTCATTCACCATCTTTGTATGGTGGTTCAAAAGATCCAAATCCCCTAACCTTTTGCGTTGTTTACAGTTTCAGGTTGGCTTTTCCCCAGAGATCTACCTACCTAACCTAATTATATCCCAGTTGTATAAGTAATCATTAGTTATTACTGCTGTCATAATTTTTAAGCCTAAATACTTTTGAAATTTCATATGTACATCTCCTTTCGAAGGTTAACTTTTTAGAATCTTTATTCATTGCTTTCTTTTGTGGTAATAGTCTTTATCTTACTGATTTATCTCAAGTTTTACAAATTGAAAACATTAATTTGGTTTTTGTTGTAAAGTAAAATGTACTTTCAAATTTATCAACATTTAAATATATTTAAATTTGTGTAGATATGTTTATTGTTCTAGAAAATGTTATAAATTGATTCTACTATGTTCTGAAGTTGGTATTTTGCTGCAAAAGGATTTTCTTGGCTGAGCTTAGTGGCTTACACCTGTAATCCCAGCACTTTGAGAAGCCAAGGCGGGTGGATCACTTGAGCCCAGGAGTTGGAGACCACCCTGGGCAACATGGTGAAACCCCATCGCTACAAAAAATACAAAACTTAGCTGGGCATGGTGGTAAGTGCCCTGTGTAGATTCATCTACTCAGGAGGCTGAAGTGGGAGGATCACCTGAGCCTAGAAGGTCAAGGTTGCAGTGAATCAAGATGGTGCTTCAGTGTTCCAGCTTGAGCAACAGAGCCAGACCCTGTCTCAAAAAAAAAATGTCTTGCACACAAGTTTGTCAGTTTTCACTTATGTAACATTTAATGCTTTCAGGTTTTTTTCCTTCATTTAAATCTTTAATTCATCTGAAATTAATTTTACTTTATGTGAGACAATCGGATGTTTTTATTTTCTATATAATTTGAGACTGTATCTGTAATTACCTCATTAACTAAAGTGGGATGTTTTTTAAGCAAATTTGGTTTAAGGTCCCAATTTTTTTTTGTATTCTCTCTTATACTTTCCTTATTGGCCTCTAGTTTTATTACATTATTATCAAAGAAAATGACTGTCAAAATTTCTGCTTCAAAATGTAATGACTTTAGTCTCATGTATTATTTTTATGGTTAGCTTCCTCTGTTTATTTTCTTTAAAAATATATATTTTTTTAAATTAATATTTTTCCAATAGGGTTTTGCACTCCTGTAAAGTCTCTTACCTACATAAGTGTCATACAGTCCACCACATTCATATCTCCTATTTACTATAATTGAGTTTTTTATGGCTATAGTATGACATAGGTTCAAGACTGAGTTTTTTTATTCTGAATACCCAGATACCCCAAAATAATTTCTTGAAGAAGGCAATCTTACTTTACTACTCTGCAGTGTCATCTTTGTCTTATGAATATGAATCAGTCTATTTTTTACCCTGTATTCATTTCTATTTTTCTATTTGTCAGCCTCATACAAATACGACACTCTCTGAGTTACTTTATAATAAGTAATTTTCTCTAAGTTACTTCGTAATAGCTTTGTAATAAGTTTTGATAACTAGTGTTGTCGATTTTTCAGTTGTCTTTTATTTCTTCAAGAGCATCCTAACCATTTTGGGGTTCATTCCATTTCAATCCACACTGTAGGATCTACATGTCCATAGTGGCAAAATCAAATGCTGGATGTTACTTAGAATAGTGTTGAATCTATAGATCAATTTGAATAGAATTGGCATTTTTCATATATGAATCTCCATGTGCACTTTATAATGCAAGATTTGTTCAGCAAGTTTTATATTTATCTGAAAATATTTTATTTATATTGTTGTGGTCTTACACATGTTACTTAAAATTAAATTTAGTTCAGGCTTTCTCATCCTCAGCACTATCGATATTTTGGCCATGATAAGCTTTGTTGTGAGGGTCTCTCCTATACATTGTGGGAGGTTTAACACCTCTGACTTCAACCACTTGATGTCAGCACTTCTGACAAGCAACAATATTTCCAGACATTGCCAAGTGAACCAGGGGATTAACTGCCCCAAGTGATCTTGATATTTAAGAGATTAAAATTTTTATATTGAATCCAAACAAACAAAAAAAGGGGCACAAATGTATAAACTGCATAAACCATTATATATGTAGTTGTAGCTCATTCATTATCATTGCTGGATAGTAATCTATTCTGTGAATATACAATTTCTATTTGATTCATTGATAATATTTTAATTATTAATAGCTAGCTATTCTTGCCCATTAATAATAGTTTCTAGAAATGTTTTTGTGTATATATATATGTAAATAGATATATATACATACATAAGTATATGAAAACCTGATGTTAAATATGCTAAATGTTATGTACTTTCTTTGGAATATACATTTGGATTAGTATATACACATACAAATGTACAGATACATTAAAACTAAAAAGAAATTTGAACAGCTACAGCCACAATTACAAAAAAGACCTCAAACATTTGTTGCTGTTTTTGAACAATGTCTCCATGATGGTAAATTCTTAAGGTTATGTGCACAAGAAATCAAACAAAACACAAAAGCCGTTTATCATATTATAAACATGAAATAATCATCTACCCCTGAAATTCTATTAAAATATTTTTAAACTTAATATGAACCTATTGATGAAAAATGAGTCAATAAATCAGAATGTGAAATCATATTTATCATAAATATAAGCCTGGCTCTGATGTTAAAACTGTCTTAGACATTCTGTGAAATAATTATAACTGTGCAGGTGTTTTGGAATAATGTTTAACACTGAGAATTATACATATAATCAATTTCACATGAATAACTAAATTATATCACTATATTTAAACAAATAGTGTATCTGCTTCCTAATACTTATTCTCTCTGAGAATGTGCTACTTTGTCTCTCAGTTTCAACACAGCTTTCTTCACCTCCTTGTTTCTCAGGGTGTACACAACAGGGTTGAGAAGGGGAGTCAGCACGGTGTAGAAAACGGCCACAACCCCATCCACAGCGTCCCTGGAGCCTGGCCTCAGGTAAATGAAAACACAGGGAATAAAGAAGCAAAGGACCACGGTACAGTGGGAGACACAGGTCTGAAAGGCCCTGTGCCTCCCCTCTGAGGTGTGGATCTGCAGGATTGAACAGACAATGGACACGTAGGACAGCACTATTAGGAGGAAGCAGCCCGAGGCCACTACCCCAATGTTCACAAAGATGACCATCTCGTTGGCTGAGGTGTCTGCACAGGACAGTTTCAGGATGGGTGGTGCGTCACAGAAGTAGTGCTGGATCTGGTTAGGTCCACAGTAGGGTAAATGGAAAGTCAATATGGTCTGGACAGCAGAGTGCAGAGAGCCACTGAGCCAAGTGCCGGTGGCCAGGAGGGCACACGTGCTCCCACTCATCATGCTGGTGTACCTGAGCGGGTAACTGATGGCCAGGTAGCGATCATAGGACATGACTGTGTAGAGGAAACACTCGGTGCTCCCCAGGAAGAGAAAAAAATAGAGCTGGGCCACGCAGCTGTGGAAGGAGATAGCCCTGCCACTTGGGAACACCAAGGTCATCAGCATTTTGGGCACCGTGACAGTAGAGAACCACATGTCAATGAAGGACAGGTTGGTGAGGAAGTAGTACATGGGGGTGTGGAGGTGAGAATCCACCCTGATCACCAGCAGGATGAGGAGGTTCCCCAGCACAGTGAGCACATAAGCCACCAGGAAGATTCCAAAGAGGGGAGCGTCCAGTGCTGGGGCATGAGGAAAGCCCATGAGAATGAACACTGTCACAAGGCTGGCGTTGGACATTTCTTCTCAACTTTGGTCTCTCTCACTTTGGAGACATGAAGAACACCCAGCACTTAGCAGTTAATTGATACTACTCTCTATGTTGAAACTGCCTTAACCAGGTAGATAATTCTGGAGTTATTCTGCACTTTGTTTGTTACAAATCTTCCTTCATAAAGGTAATGATAAAATGATTTCAGCCTCTCTCATATACATGCACACAGGTGCACACACACAGAGACACACAATCAGAAGAAAGTAGGAGAAACACACTATATTAGATTTCCACTGATATATTGAAAAATACCAGAAACTTAATGGCATAAAACATGTAAAATTTTTATCTCACCCTCTCTGTAGGTCAGGTCAGCTGGACCGTCTGCTGAGGGTCTCATCAGGTCTCAATCAACGTGTAACCAAAAGATGCAATCTCATTGGAGGCTCACAATTCTCTTCCAAGCCTATTGCAGCTGTTGGCAGGACCCTATTCCTTGCAGTTTTTGGACAGAGGTTTCCTTTTTTTTTTTTTTTTGGCTGGTTCTTGGCAGGACATATCAATCTCAGCTTACAGATGCCATCCTATGTCCTAAAATCCACCTCACCTTGCTTTCAATGATATGAAAGCTTTCTTCCTCAAAGTCAGAAAAGAATCTCTCTCCAGTTTGCTATAGCAAAATGATCTGTAACATAATTGTAATCAGGGGTAATATCCCATCATAGTCACATGTCCCACGTGCACTCAAAGGGAGGTTATTAAATAGGAAATATACCAGTGGGGAGAAATTTGGGGGCTCCTCAGAATTCTACCTACCATATTCTATTTTCATTGCAGGGTTCAAGGGAGAACTTAAAAGGAGAGGAATTTAATTGTTACTATGAATGAAACACAGTATACATAATACGTGCACTATGTTTGAAAATGAAAATTTCCCCATTTGTAATTGCATTTGACATCACTAACATCATATATCTCACTGAGAAATTATAAGCATTAAATAAGATTTTATATATATATTACTAAAGACTATATCTGGCAGGTAATAACTGCTCAATAAATGATAGTGAGTCTTATGACACTGTGCCTTGCAGCAGTATTACAGATTTGCCATTTTCGATCTTAGATAGAGAGTTCTTAGTGTTTTCAGAGTCTTCCTCAATCTAAGAGCTATGACTCTTTCATGCCTGATACCGTTACTGATGTCTTCACTACTGCCTACTTTTAAAGGGCTTCTTCTAGGTCTCTCAGAGCAGGTAAGAATCTCAGCACAACTCTATAGTGGGATTCCCACAATCTCCCAAATGATCCAGAGAGCACCAAGTTTCATACATGACTGCCTCCCGTTTTTCTTATACTGGGCCATCCCATGGGCTGCTTTAAGATCATGATGTTCATATGTGTTCTCCCAACTGCAATCTACTAGATAGGGGCTAGCTTTCTGTTGTACATTACTCTATCCTAGATGTCTAAATGTTTCCTAATATTGACTTTGTAGATAATATTTTGTCCCCACCATCTTTCCCTCCTCCACGTATTCATAACTCCAGGCAATGCTCTCATAATAAAAGACAATTCTTTCAAGTCTACATTTCTTTTCTAGCACCTACCACCTAAGACAGGAAAACAGAACCAATGCAAGACGAAGGGATATAGGTTGGTTTGTTGTCAAGGAACGCTGAGATTCTCTATAATTGGTATTCAGGTTGAAATGATGTTTTTAACTGAATACAAAATATTTTCTTAGTCCAAACTTGTTATGAAGTGTTTTGTGGAGAAGACTATGAAACTGATTCACCAATATGGAAGAAACCAGGATGTCTGCAGTTTACAGAACCCAGGCAAAATGTATCCTGACATATTACCATCAGGGAATGCAGCTGAAGTGACATTAAAGCAAGGTTTTTCAAATATGTAAATCAATAACAGAAGTAGTATTATTGTAATCACCAATATGGATATCAGAACCTTAAAAATTGAAGCAATATAACTCTGAAATTTCTACTGTGCCAGCAGGACCCAATCCTCATGTATGTAACATAATCAGATTTGATGAAATATGAAAATTTTTATAAGGTGAAGTCCTATGTTGCCTGATACCTAAGCTAGGAGTCTCAATAGATAGAGACAATGTTTGCCTTGACTATCCCTGGTGTAGACATTTGGTCCCTATTTGTATACCCTCAATTACTTTCAATTTACCTTGATAAATCAATTTTAGAACAAATTCTAATAATTCTTGAATTTCTTACCTCTGAATGAAAGTTAAGATAAAGAAAAGAAGGGAAGTTGGAGAAAATAAGTGAAGTCTACATTTCTAAAGACTCACCTTGCGGTATGTGATTCTTTTCAGTAGTAACATTCATCTGACTTTCTCCCCAAATTTTCATTTTCTACCCACTATGTACAGACACTGGTTTGCAAGGTTCGCTCAAAGAACAGGTGCACAATGTTGAGAAAGAGTGATCCATTTCTATTTAAGGACCAAACTAGTTAAAGTACAGGGAATGAAAATGAACATGAGTAGGAACTTAACTTGATTTCTGTCTCAGAGGATGGGATTGCTCCGGGGCTTTCAGATTCCCTTGATGAGCACAAAACAACAGGAAGAGACCAATATAAACTTCTCCAGAAGCATGCACACATTTCCTTAGCATTTCTTATCTGAACCCTCTTGAGAAGAGCCCATATCTTCCTGGAACCAATATATACACCTAAGAGGAAAGGAGGAGGAATGACTCTTCCCTCATCAGTGATCGAGAGACACCCAGGACTGCTTGCTTTCAACTTAAAATTTTCCAGAATCCATAATAGTCCTCACCTGGTGCTCTGCAGCTCAGCATCACTCTCTCATTTATCTTTATATGGTGGTTAAAAACATTTCCAAGCTTTTTTGAGAATTCCCAAATTCCCAAACTTTTTTTGTTGTTTAGAGTTTCGTGGTGGCTTTTCTCCAAAGATAAACCTACCTAATTATTTTCCAATTGTATAAGTAATAACTAGATAGTACTGCTGTCATAATGTTCATTGCTTTTACAAGCATGAGTAAACACTGTCAACATTTCATGCATATAGCTCCTTTTGAAAATTAAGGTTTCAGGAACTTTATTGATTTCTTTGAGATAATAGTCTTAATCCCATTAACTTGTCTAAAGTTTTACAAATTGAAAGCATTAATTAGTTGTTTTATTGTAAGTTAAAATGTGCTTTCAAATTGTTGTCATTTAAATAATTTTTATTTGTACAGATACTTTTAATGTTCTAGGAAATTTTATGAATCTATTCCAATATATTTACGATGTTGGCATTTCGCTGTCAAAGGATTGTCTCGCACACAGGTTTATTACTTTTCACTTACATAATATTTAATGCTTTAAGGTTTTTTCCTCCATTATTTCTCTATTTTATTGAAAATTAATTTTACTTCACATGTAACTTCAGGATGTTTTTATTTTCTACAGAATTTTGATTATAGTTGTAATTACCCCATTAACAGAGGTGTTTTTTAGGGATTTGGTTTAAATTCTCATTGTTTTGATTTCTCTCTTATAATTTGCTTATTAAACTTTAGATTTAATATATTATATGCAAAGAAAATGAGCTGAAAAATTTCTATTTCAAAATGTAATCACTTTAATGTATCATTTTCATGGTTAGCTTCTTCTGTTCATTTGTTTTCTTTGAAATGTATTTACTAATGGAATGTCATAAAGTCTACCATATTTATGTCTCTGATCCATTGAAATTGATTTTTTATCTAGATAGTGTGAGATAGGATCAAGATTATTTTTTCATTCTGAAAACCCAATAACTCAAAATAATTTATTGAAGAAGGCATTATTGCTTTACTGCACTGCAGTGCCATCTTTGTTATGTGACTATACACAAGCCTATTTATATTATCCTCTCTTCACTTCCATACAAATACTTATACAAATACTACACTTTCTGAATTGCTAAAGCTTCATAATAGGTTTGATATCTGGTGTTGTGTATCTTTCAACTATATTTTATTCCATCAAAACTACCTTGATCGTTTTCATGATCCATTTCATTTCAATATATACTTTAGGATCTACATATTTATATCTGCAAAATCAAATGCTGTAATCTTATTGGAATTACATTGAATCTATATATCAATTTGAAGATAATTGATAACTTTAAAATTTGAATCTTCCATTCAATATGCATATAATAATGCCCAGTTTCTTCAGGAACTTTTATATTATTTTGAAAATATCTTGTTATTTCTATTGTAGTGGTCTTACCCATTTTTATTTAAAATTAAAGCCAGATCAAGGTTTCTCATCCTCAGTACAATGGACATTTTGGGCAAGATAAGCCTCGTGATGAGGGTCTGTGCTATACTCTGTGGGATATTTACCCACATCCCTGACCTTTAGCCACTGGATTCGAGCACCTGTGACCTGTGGCAGTATCTTCCGACATTGCTAAGCAAAGCTGGCAGGGCAAGATTGCCCTCACTGATATATATATTTAATTGTGTTACACTGAATCTTAACAGATAACATAAATAAATAAGCACAAAAGATAAATGCAAATATCATTTTACATATAGCTATAGATTTTGTTATTGCTGTATTATAATCCATTGTGTGAATATACAACAATTTATATTTCATTCATTATTTGATAGTCATTTTAAATAGTTTGCTTTCTCTGCCTATTTAATATGGCATTTCTACAAATAATGTTTTAGGGGACTGTGTGTGTGTGTGTGTGTGTGTATGTGTGTGTGTGTGTGTGTGTGTGTTGAATTTTCATTAACATACCTATATATTATATATTATATGCTTTCTTTTGCATATGCATTTGGATTTGTATATACATGTACAAATACAAAGATATACTAAAACAACCAAAAAGGTATTTAAACAGAAATAGCCACAAACAGAAAAGTGACCACTGACATTTCTTATCCTTAATCAGTATCTCTCATAATTATAAATTTTTAAATTTTTGTGCACACACAAAGAAATATGAAAGTATGTCATCAGCTTACACATACAAATGATTCCACTGTGTAT